TTGGATTGCCTCTGTGATAGCTCTATTGGTAATATAGTTGTTTGTTGATCAAAGGAAAACGTTATGGTCTAGGCTCGAACTTCGGCCTAGACATACCCCGTTTCGGGCTGGGAGCCAGCCATCTGATGGAATACCCTACGGCGACACCTGACGTAAAACTCGAAACATATCGGCAGGTTTGGTTACGTTTGGGTTTTCTTTAACAGACTATAAAAATTGATGATAAAATATCTCATAGTAAATATTGTTCAACGATCAAACTTCAACTAGCGATGACTGCATATTTATGGTGGCCATGGTAACGCGCTCACCTGGTCAAATACCAGCTCAATCATAAAACGTAATTGACTTTTGTGAGATACTTTTCAGTAGTCACGTTCACCACACAGACACATGTGTTTGGGTTCTATTTTATTCTGTCTGTATGAGTTGTTTTGTTGCTCATCGCGCTGTGTATCTACCGCCTATCAAGATGAAGAAATGAAATCGTGGGTAAAAGCCATCGAGATGTCGACGAAAGACGTCATAATGCGCATTAGCCCTAATATGAGTTACCTATGTATCATTACAAAACCTGCTTGCGGGACTCTGATGTGGACAGACAATGGAATCTCAACGAGCCTCTTCTATAGGGCAGAGTGTAACATTTTTAGATTGCGTTTCAATATATATATATATATATATATATATATATATATATATAATCCTATTTTATAGCAAAAAGGCAATACTTCATAATCGAAATTGAGTCTATACGTGAACTTAATGGAACATAGCTTTATAAATTCTTGAAATTGCAAGCTTGCTAAAATCAAGCTTACGATCTTCATACTCGATACGCCCTCTGTCGACTACCTATACTACTGGCGCTTCCCAATAGGGGCATGGTAACCTGAGAAATACGTGCACCGCCGTACGTCTAGCATTTTGCCAAACACATTTGCTGTTTCACTGCAATGCGATAAACGGAGTTAAATTGGCCTTTTCAAGTAGGGATCATGTTAAGCTTCCAATTGTCAACTTATAATGAGAGGAAGGTCTGCTTAAAAGCTAATATAGCCGTCGCTGTGCTCTTCAATAATCGGTCTCATTTAGCTCTCGTGTGTCGAATTTGACGCGCTATGGCCAACTATCATAGTTACGTATGAGTTAGCTGCATGTAGGACCATCGTAGACTGTCGGTGGTAAAATAACCTGTTACGGTCAAACGCCGATAGGATATCTATTGCACGAAGATGATTCGAAGCCCTTAGGCTTCTAAATCATATGTGTTTAAACTAATGTTAGGATCAATTACGAACTCGGGGCAGGGCGTACAGAGTACAGGGTTCAATGGGTGACAATATGACAGCGTCAAACGAATACTTTGAACGTCTGGTCGACGTAGCGTATATGGCTTAAATATAAACTAGGCACTTGCAATTAAAGCTGCAGCTATAACCTGTGCACTGGGTTCGAGTGTGTAGGCCACTACAGTTCGTAATTGAACTGTTTGACATCTGTGTATATATAGAACAATGGCAATAGATAAACCGGCAATTCCAAGCATCTCTTTGTTTGCGTTTTGACACCTACTTGAATGCTTTATTTTTCCTTAGATGATGTATTATATTTAAACGAGCAATTCTTCGGGCGGGCCAAAGATAGATCATCAGACGCATTTGATTAATTAGGCAGAAATTCTGAAGGGTATTTTCTGCAAGACGCATTTACACTGAGCAGTTAATCAGCGCGGAAATAATAGAGCGCAGAGTTTACCCCCCGGTACACTAACTGAACAAATTTCAATGTACACATCTATATAAAAGAGGTGGTTGCTAGAGGGAAACAGTGAGCTGCTTCGGATATTTAACGTTGCTAAGATTAAAAATAATAGTATCGCTTCCAGCAGAATCGATAAGCTAGATAGTACTATTAGTTATTTTGATTGTTCAACTCCTAAGTTGATAAGTTTGCTCGTTATAGCCTGCCAGAAAAACCTGAACACTTCTAACTGTCTAAGAGGACGTCGATCGTTCTTATCACAATCAATGCGGTTGGCGATACGTGATTCGGGCAAATGGTTTATTCTTTAAACAGGATCGTCGAGTAGATATTTATGAGACATTGTTTTCGTCTAAACAAAGCGGTTAGAATGGGTAGGTGCCTAATAAAAACCCGCGAAAAGAATCTGCAGATAGCGATTGCTTTTACTAACCAATACCGCGTTCAGTGGCAGTATTTCATGCCAAGTACTCCGACTTCTGGTATAGACAACTCTGAAAAATCTACTTTTTACTACTACTACTTTTTACTCTATAACGAAATAAATAAATCCACTTTTCTGTTATTAGACTTGCCGCCTATATGTACATATTTATTACCAAGGAAAGATAGATAGTTTTCGGTTCCAGGCTGCTGATTCCAGATGTTTTCAGCGTGAGCTAAATGGTGTCCATGTTCGGCACATGACAACCTACAAAATTGCGTGTGGTCTACGAGACCAGGTCACGCAGTTGCACATCCAATTGGGGCTTGGTACATTCAGTCAGGATGTTGGTCAACGGGACTCCGCGCTGCCCTTTTCACTCGTTACTATTATCGATCTGCATGCTATGACACGTGCTAACTTTTAGTGTAACTTACTGCTGTCAAACAAAGAAGTGAGAAAACAGCATCGCCTCTCTGTCGAAAACGCTTCGTTAGTAAAATCATACTATGCTGTATTATCCGAAAAATCTAGAATATTATTGTCCATCTATGTATTTATGTTTTTCTCCACTCGATACGCAACGCAAATGGGGCTGTAGAACACATATCTGTTAACCCATCACGGTTTATTGATACCAATGCCCTTGTCCGAAACGTTTGTTACTTGAGGATAATAAACAGAAACATAGCTACATTCGTTGTTGACTGAATTCGATTCAGCCTACTTGAGGGACGGCTTCTAAGTTTTCGCAAAATCCAGTACCATTTGCTGAATGCTTTTTCTGCTAGTATTCCAAAACTAGAGGGACATTTTGTATAATATGGTACAACAGTGGATAAAAATTAAGATTTGGGTCAATAAACTGCCCATCTAAGTTTTGTAAATATCCAAAATTATTCTATTCCGCAGTTGATGTTTGAGTGTCAGCGAACTTCACTACTATAGGCAATCGTTTCAACTAGAACTTATGAACGGTGGTTCGATGCAGAGCAATACGAAATCTTTGTCGAAATGGCGATTTAAAAAAAGAAAAGTAACTTACTCAGTGCTTCTATTTGATTAGTACGTTTGTAGTGTTACGTTCATGGTCTACCGTTGCTTAAGATAACTAATTCTCTAGCTTAGAGGTTAAGTTAGTAACGATGAAAGATATCACTAAGTTTATTTGATCATCAGTTGAACTCCATTGAAAACACGTTTCAGTTGAAGAATGTCGAGTAGATAAACCGAAACTATCATGGACGTTTCTCATGAAGTCAAACAATCGTGTACCAGGGAGAAGAGGAGTTTCATCGCTTGTAGTAAAAAAACTGAAAAAATGTACAGTATGTATAATGGACTAAAGATGGAAGACGAAAATTAAAATACATCCTGACTCGCAATACGAAATCCATAGGATATTGCGAAAAAAAGCAACCATTCTCTTGACCAGAAAATGTGTTCTTCGATCTATTGTATTGAAGATGAAGGAAGTCAGTATCAGCTCCAGGCAAGTTTGGAGACGACTGCATTTACGAAGGTATCCTGCGGCTATTGTCAGCCAAGTGAGAATGTAACTTCAGGCCTCTAAGGCTCTTAATATATACACAGTTGCATTTCTATTGTCCTAATCACAATCTGATGACCATTCCGGAACATTGTCGCTCGATTAACAGTTACATAAAAATAGGCTCTATATAGTTGTCCGTGTAGCCAAATAAAAATTTAAAGCAGCTTATTTATCTAATTATAATATCCAGAATTATGTAAGATTCTCATAAATGTGTACTTGGATAAAAATGAATAATTTGTAAATAAATAATTGCCTCTGACTATACCGGCGTAACCTATGTTGTTGTAGGTCGCCACTTTTTACTGGGCGACAGTCTTACATTCAATCCAATAGAAGTCCATATCAGTAAACTCAGTTTACAAAATCCTAATGAAGAATAGGAATGATCTTGAAGCGCCGACGTGAACTTACTCCTATTTGATGGACATCACGTAAAGGTGTTTGGCACTTCTAATTGCATTACCGTAAGCAAAGCTCATATTAAGTTATATATAACCCAATCCCTATAACTAATACATATAATAAAATATAGAAATATTTTATTTGCGATTAAACTTTCTATTTTTCAGTTGCCTATTATCACCTACCGTCAGCGACAGCCACTACTATTTTCGATGCGCTGTTTCGGCAATCTTTTTTTAACAATTCTTTTTGAGTAACAATAATAAGTTAATGAAATAGTAGAACTAACGCATCAAGTCAAACGGCAGGTCAGTTTAAAACTTAACTTTAAAGACACCCTTTAATTTCTCTACACTTGGCATTGAGCAAGCTCTTGACCCACTTGATAGTAATATTTTATCAAGATTTGTCAAGACAACGTGAGGCCTTGTCGATCCATTTTCAGTAAGGTCAAAGCTGTTGCTCATATTCTAGATATGCGTAATCGCAATATAATTAGCTGAACTAATTAACGTCGAACGGTGGTTCCTAAAACAAAGTTCATTGACAACGGAACGAAAAAAAATCCGCTGTCATTTTATGTATTCCACAATCTTATATAGATATAATCAAATTTTAGCTGTGTTTTTTGCATTTTGTCGCCACTGTGTTACAGTGCACGTTAAAGTCACACCTCATTTCTCCGGAATCCAAACTTGCCTATTTCCGCATACTGGTGCAAATTGTGAGGTGTGAACAAATCGTCACCCAACGTGAATATCTGAGTCAGCCTGTGACAAAAGTAGTTGTCAACTCAACAGAACTTATTTCGTTAAATTCTGCCAAAATACTCTGTGATAATCATCGGGTTTTCAGACCATCGAACGTCGCGGTGATGTCGGGGATTTGGAGAAACTCCTGCTGCAGGCCTCATTCAAAAGCTCATCGGCAACGTTGCAGAGTCGGCAGATACAACAAACCACTCGGCTCGAGCCGAAATTTACCGAAACCATTGAAGACGATAACAAAATCCACTTTACCAGAAGGCCTAATGGACGCAGCCAAAGCAGCACTACCTCTAGGCTACGTTATAGCCCATTAGCCAAAAGTCACTCGGTACGTACATATATCAAGCATCAGTTGAACAGCTGAACTTAAAGTTCAGTGCATTATTAGGACTAGGCTCTTATTTGAGAGGCACAAAGCTCCTTCGACAGATGGAGCAACTACCTCCTAATAATTACGTATGTCTGAAGCATGATGGTGCGATCGGAGACTGTTTCCTACGCATCTGAAATCATACCCGAACAACAGACGCAACAGCAACATTTTTTTGTACACTAAGAATTAGATTGACGTGTTCTTCAATATAAGCGATGACGCTTACGGCAGTTGAATCATCAATTCGAAGCTCAAGCACTAAGTAGTATTTTTTTCTAATCCGCAGATAACTTTTTAACTTTAGCCGTGTGTCGAGCGATATGAATAGTTACCAGCTCGTTAAACGATAGCCTAACTACGCTATCTATAAAAAAGCCGATTTAATTTTTGGGCTGATAGCAGGGCAAAAATCCAAAAGCTCAAAAAAATAGTTCAAATGGTACATAAAAAGTCTAAGAAAAAAAGTTGCTTGTTCAGGTTTACCTGACGCACTGAATCGGCAACAGATGTTCTGTTTTCTAAAAACTTGATTAAAGATCCAGATATGTCGAAAATGGCTTTTTAAACGACATGGATTTAAATTACTTAAATTAGCGTTATCTCCTTAGAGGATTTTCCGGTTTCTTCGTGTATGTCCATAACGCAAAAAATTCGGGCAGAGGTTTTTGACTTTGGTAGGGTTCGTCTATAGCAAAAAAATCTGGATAGTAACGGAAGAAAAAATTGAATTGAAGATAATTCTTAAATTAAGTCTATTAATTCGTACGAATGTTGGAATAGGCTTTAGAATGCCAGCAAGTAATAGAGCTTGAAGTACTTTATTAATATATATATTTGTGCCAGCAATAAAGAAGCAGCATGTTTCATAATCCCTTATAAACGTCATCATACTGTCCTAAGCCATTTCTAGCATCTTACCGATTTGTTGCCTTACGCACAAATGCGGTGCGGTTTCGTACGCCTTTTGTGCGCACATACCGTTTTGTTCGTCTGTACGGCAATAGTTCGTTGTTGAGTTCCTCAAGCAACATGGCAATGCGATGCCAGTCTCTACTTTACGCGATATTTAACTCATAATGATATACTTTAGACATATTCACATATACTGACGTTTGCCTGAATTTCAAACAAATCACAGCTTCTACGCATGATTTCTGCATTTGCTTCGACTATGTCAGAAGAAGTGTTATTTCTGCATTACTTCTGCAGCCAAGGCTACTATCCCCTTATCGTAATATACGGGGCTTTGTATCGTAGATTACAATGGAGCTCAGTGGACATGCCTGCTGGTCGACGTAGCCTTTAGTGGGCATTTGTCTCTAAATAGGTAGAGCCTTGTGAATAGGTAGAGTCTCCGAAACTTGTGTAGGGTTCGCATGGGTCGGACTTGTCGGATACACTATCGTACAAGGTTGTCTGATGAATGTTCGTCTAAAACGAATTGCAGTTTAGATTATTTTGAACCTGGGCAGTTGAAAGCCCAGGCATGTGGCTTAGTCGCAGACAATAGGATCATTAACACGATGTACTTGCGGGAGCGAACTATGAGACCTGAGTCGTTTTCTTATCTTACATTTTGACAGCTGCTTTAACATCAATTTGGATTACCTCTGTTCGAGGTATCGATCCCTGAACTATTGCATCAGGTACAACGTATTTAGTCACATTCATTGTTGGTCCTGGCCTTTATCCAAATAATCCAGTGTTAACTGCCCCAACTACCTACTCCATCATCGACAAAAGAACCCGCCCTTCATACGTCTCTGTTCTTGGTGCAGCCGCGCTTTTCACCATTTCCCCTTTCCAAAACAATGCAATCTATGTAAACTATAGTATGGAGTACTGTGGAAAATTTAAACTCTGCTTTCGGATATTATAAACGGGGGGATATTAAATTCCAGACAGCACCCCTGCACAATTATTTACGGTCATCCCGTAAAAACAGGGTAAAGAGAGCGGGAAACTCGAGCAAGCAGCAAGAGACGAATTAAGAACAGAACATGAACCTCCTCAGAAAGGAGAAAGCAATAAATATCGGGGACCTTTTTTTCTTAACAAGTAACTTAACCGACGGGAATGTTGCTTCAAACTCTCGGCACTTTCCTATAGCCATCCTGCTAACTTAGAATTTCAAATATTTCAGTAACTGAGTGCTTATCCGATGACAGGTTAAGGCGACTAAGTTGAATGAGATATGTCACCAAAGCAAGATCGCGTTACCGGTATTAGACGGAAGAATATTCTGGTAAAAGTGCCGTCTATGTATGACTAGCTTATATCATAGCTTAAAATTTAAAATGTCAGCGGTATTCAATGCAAACTGATTATATTTTATATATGTCCATTCTGATGTAAGCGAGCCTGTCTAATAGAAATAGGAGCCTAAGTGAAGCAACTTTTAGGCGTAGGAAGGTGCCTATCGCTACGTGTAGACTTGCTAATCGGCGAGTATATTTGCTATTGAACCGGCGAAAGTTTTAACTTCCTATTTAGGGCCATGGTTTTTGTTTTAACGAAAGGCTGAATCAACCAGAGCTTATATTTTAATGATTTATTCCAGATTCTTCAGAGATTTCATTCTGATACAACAATATCGCAATGCCTGAACTAATTTTTCGCCGTTCTTTTCCCAATATCAGTGAATTCCTCCCAGACCTTTAATTTGACTTAACAACTCTTCCGATACAATTGCGCATTGAGATAACTTTCCGTTTAGGGAAAAATCCGCAAGTACTTTGAATTAGCAACTCCGTCATACAGAACTGCCTTATTCATTAGTGGTAAGAGGACAAAGATTTCTAGCTTCGGCAATCTGTTTGCTGAAATAAACAACACATCAATGTTTCTTCTACAGGTTCGTCTTAATCGTTTCAAGGTCCGTCTGACTTCCCGTTACGAGGATCAAACGGCATTGCCTTCGGAGGTTGAACATTTGAACGCGTTTGATTCACAGGTCTGTATGTTACAGCTTAAACAAATAACCACTGAGGCATTTTCCCTTAAAACCTTGTTTGGATGTCACAAACCTGAAGAGGTTTTCGGCACAAGTACCTGCTACAAGGCTGAAGTATCTAACTGGAAAAATTGCCTAAAAAATTATGTGGCCTAGTCCATTCATCAAGTGAATTGTTTTGCCCTCTTATATGCCTGGAGTCAGAAATCATTTTCAAATCAACCATCGTCCGTTGGCAAGTCGATCGCGCCGCACAAAGTTAAATCATATCACATGATGTTGCAATTAGGTCACACACACACATCATGATCAAACGATATACTGATAAAAGTTATTAATATTACAAAGAACTAACAGAAGTAGCAGCCTGATAATTGTACCTGATAGTGAGCGGCGTCGCTACTTTCAACACTTTCCAGGTGAAAGCTCTCGATCTTGATGACCCTCTTCTAAACATTGATCCCGCTCGAATAACCTGGCTGCCTACGACCTTCACGTCGTTGGTGACTCTTCGCGCTGGTCAGCGCAAATCCGTCATTCGAACCCTAACAATAACCACTTCTTTTCCGACGACGATTGAGCCCAGCGAAGTTCTCTCTAATGGCATCAGCGACAATGGTACAAAACTAACGTATCAAAAATTAAATCTCACTCTGTATAGACCATTCAGCAGGAGGTAAAAGCCACATTTGGCCATTTAGCGCCTAGTAATACGACTTCAGGTCATTCTCGCGCACTTTGGATACCTAGAGTCTATATCGATTCCAATAATTTTGACGCCTCAGTCTTTGGGTTTGTTGCTCTTCCTCTTTCTGCGGTAAGACCTCCATGCGAAATTTATGTAATTTCTACTAACATATATATATATATATATTTCTAACGTATAGAGTTCAAGCAGACAGTGTTTTACAGGCTGATGCTTCTATTATAGAATAGTCTTCTACGACATCCTATAAACATTCCTTAGAAAGTTTTTATTACAGATGAATTTGAAATACCAATAATACAGGGTCTTCGACCATAGAATATTTTACTAGGTAGAGCAACCCATCTGATCCTGATTAATCAGTGTTAGGGCGACTTGCTTTTCCTGAATGATCTTCGATTGCTTCCAGCTTGCTGCAGCTATTCGTGGCTCTACTCCGGCCAGATAAATGATTAGGGGTGTAAGAGTGAAAATTTTTTCCAGACCTACATTCATTACAATCCAAACCTGAATGCCGATCGACTGTTCTGCATGTTCCCCCCGGCGTTGAGCATGGCATTTCCGATGCATGAGTACCTCGCCTGCAGCATTACTTTTTCAACATAACTTAGCACAGCATTTTTCATGCCTTTTTACTTCTTGAAGCATTCATTTGTCTTTACGAGTCAGAAGTCGTTTCAAACGTGTTCAAAGGCAAGACAGCCTTTGATATTGCCTTCGTGTCTTTCGTATACCGGGTGGGGCAAAAATAGCCTTACAATGATGAAAGAGTGAAGTATGTAATTAGGAAAACAATGTGTTTACTGCCATTGCGAAGAGAGCCGGGCGAGTCAAAGCGGCACCCGTATCAGCTAGTGCTTTTGTTTTGTGACAGGAGGCCTACTTCCTCTATTTCTAGGCATATATTTTTCCCATTTCAGGCCTCCTTTTACCACATTCGATACAATTCTTTTCTAATTTGGCATCGTGTATTAGGACCTATTTAAAATTATTGTAACCGTACACTGTTAAAAGTTTATCGAAATTGCTATTTTCGAATTGTCTAAACTGCTAGGTTTAACGCCCCTTGACTTTGTTCCCCACCCGTCCCAGGATTATCAATACACATCTTCTCGTGTATATTCGTAGATATATCTCTTAATAGTTACGTTGAATTTAAGTCACGAACTACATTCCTGCGTGATATATCGCAGTTATGCTATATAGCGTTCAATGATAAAGCGTTACGCCCAGATTTTGTCCTGAATTTGGCGGCCGAGACTGTTCCTTGGTGTTTCCTAACCACGTTAGTGGCCCGTGGCTTATCCAGCAAAAGGTAGTATCATGTCGTATGGAATCGTGTCTCCCTCGTATCAGTGTTTTCATCAGGTCACCGTACCAAAGCGCTACTGTTATCAGGAAAATGTCCCTACAATGTTTGCAACTCTCATTAAACGACGAGAAATTCTCGACTGTATAATCGATCTGCTTACTTATATAGCACCATGGAACGTAGACAAGTTTAGCCAAAGGGTGAAGGGGAATTGCTGGAAAATTCTCGCTAACTGTACATATCAAACATTTGATCATCGGTGAATGGTACCATATCGTACAGAACAGTCTTAAATGCAAATTGTCCCATGAAAAATATCCCGGTGCAACCGTTTCGCATCGAGACGAGATGTACCGATTAACGTCTGCTATCTGTTTGATTTTTCGTTTTTAGCCGCATGTCCGCTAATTCGTCACAAGCATTACTATTGGCACCTAATTAGAGTAAAAGTCGTGTAAACAACTTGGAAGTAAGCATGCATTACAAGAGAATCTTGATTAATGTCTCCTTTTCGAAAAATTGCTTGTTGTGACCGTCCCATTCGTTTGGGAATGTTTGTATTTCAGCCATTGACCCAACACCGTCTGGGTTGGTTCATTCCCGAATTTACTCAACGGAACAGCACACGTGGCGCACGTCGCTCATCCCGGCTTCTCATGACGGCCTTACCTCGATGCAGACCATCACTGAATCCTTTGTAATCAGAAAATTCGTCACAGCGTACAGGTAAAGCCGAATAGCCAAAAGCCGGATAGGCCTGACCTGAAAGGCTTCATAGCCATTCTAAGGCCGGGCCGGACTTCGGCAGTGGAGCCCTTGTTAAAATGCTATTTGTTGCACGCAATTAAAGGTTCGCTGCTTAGCCTAAGAAAAACGCAAATCTGAAAAAACTTTCGATACAAATATATAGCAGAAGTATACCGCATGTGTAGATAATCATTGACCACGATTATTTTAGATAAATGCTAAATGATAAGACAAACATGTAGTTATAGATATGTCTAATACGACATATAAAGACCTAATCTTCATATTTAACTGAAGATATGTTCATCTATTCATCTAACAAAAGCTACAGTATAATTAAATCGTTTAAAGAAATACGCTTTAATCAAACGATTTAGCAAATAAGGTTCGCTCAGTCGGTTTCAGGACACTTCACCTGAAGCGGACCGCCATAGTTTCCTTTAGCACATCGATATGTTGACCGCTCTCCCAGACATTCAAAATATTTATTCATACACGGGAATTTACATTGTCCATGTCTTTATTTATGTTAAGTACTTCGATTCACTTTCGAGTGCGGCCCCTTCAAGAACGAAGTTTTTTAAATATAAGCAGAATCACCCTAAATCTTTAAAAGATAATTAATACATACGTAAACATTGCATTAATGTTTACGAACTGTGCGTTGCAACTACAAACTATGAAGCTCTATACATGTATATGATAGTGTATGTAGAACATGTGAGAATGCCAAATGGATGATACTTCCCAGTATCCTACCATATATTTCGTTAGATACGTGTAAATTGCATAGTTGGAAGTCCTCACAGTTTACGCAATAGACTTCACCCGAAGTGTAAAGAGACTCTTCATCCGGAAGCTATGGGGAATCTCAAGTCGAGGAGTGGTCAAGGCTATAAAAAACCTATTACTTACCTTTTGTAAGAAAAGGAAAACTTTTTTAAACTTATGCAAAAAAGTACTTAGATACCTGCTAGCCCAATGTATAACGCAGAGACCAATTGTTCCAGAACAGACATTTATGGCGACGATAAGTGAACTCGAATAACGAGTTGGAGACATTTTCCGAAAAACCCTATATACATATATATACACAGCACTGAATCAAACACAACAGCTGTACCAACCTGGTCATTCAACCCGATTAAAAATAAAATCGCCGGATATTAAAAGCAACAAGAATCAACACATAAACTTCGAAAGTTAACAATAAAATGGCAAAACCTGGATGACAAGACAAACCCCAAAATACCAGGGACAGCAACAGCAAGGACGACAACAAAAACATTTGCGTATAATCCTTTTTAGTAGAAAACAAAACATTAGGCTATATGAAAGGAGATCTGATGTCAGCTAGGATAAGTAAACAACGTTGACACAAAAAATAGTAGAACTCGACAACGTGCTATATAATTTATATACGCATGTCGCCATATTATACTGTCATTGTCTATTAACCTGCTAACAATGACATACTAAATGTATTGAAGGCTGAACGTGTAGTTACCTTTTATGAAGTAAGCTTAATCGAATTGATTAGTTAATTCATTTATACTCAATTGATTTACGTATACGGTTGATTAATGAATAATGTTATTATTCATTGCATTTTGAGGTAACCAGACGTACTTCATAGTCGCCATACGCAACCATTGACCATTTTTAGAAATGCTATACCACTGGCTGATGTATTCAATAGTTTCATGCAGATAACAATGACGTCATACTTACAAAAACAAAAGTTTCATTCGACTGCATATATGATTTAAGTTCATATTTGTTTTTAATTAATTTCTACGCTTAACTGACCCTGAAAATGAAAAATAAAGTATTTCCAATCCAGTGCACGCGTTAACTTGTTCTGCGTTTTGTTGTGGTCGTTCTACCGGAATCCGGGACGTATCGCTATTTCCTTCTGCATGTGGACGTCGTTTATGTAGGACTATGCCCTCCAGCGAGATTACTGACGAGATGACCAACGAAACGTTAAGCTTCCTCGATGAATCGGACGATTCCTACATCAAAACACTGCTGGCTGGCGACATCAACGCTACGGCGACAACTAAAACAGATGAGCCACTTACTTCGAAAAACATTCTCGACGAACTTCAAAACGCTCTCCAGAAGAACCCGCTTGCTGCACTGCTTCTGGGCCTCAACACCCAGCTTCAGCCTTCGCTACAGACCGTAACCCGAAGCAGCACCTACGTGACCACTGACACCCTCTACCACACGAAGGTCGTGAGTTTTTACGATGGTCGGCGAACTCGTTCGAAACGTCTATCGGATTCGATTGGAACGACAGAGCGCACCCTTACGACCGTTACCACCGAAGTGATCACTATTCAGCCAACACAGGCATTCCCATTTCCGTTCCTCCTGCAGCCGACACCAACAGCCAGCTATTCGACTATTACTTCGCTGTACACTACGGTAACTACGGGTACCAGCTACGCGTCCAAGATCTTCACGCTTATTTATAACGCGTTTTCAACGAGGTATCGAACGGTAACATCTAGCTCGACCTATCCGACGACAATGGTGATTACCTCAACTTCGTCGTTCCTAGTTCAGCCCACTTTAGCTTACGGAGGTTATCCAAGTCAAACGTCCCCTGGCTATCAAGCCCAAGTGCCACAACAAGCACAACTCGTACATCAACTGAGCCAGGCCGTTGTGGCTGAACCACAACCTTTGGCTACCGTCCAAGGAAATGGTGCGTTTCCATTGTAGCGAGTATAGGACATTGTAATGATACAAGTTAGTAATGTATTATTCATTCGTATATTTAATTAGTTTTCAGCATATTTGTTATGTGTCATGTATAGTTGGATAATCATTAACAAAACAATTAACGATGAAGTTCATTCTTTTTTTCATACACTTGTAAACCATTTTCTTAGAAAACTTGCATTGCCAAGCATGCAAATGAATTCTTCTAGCTGTAAAGTGCCCGTAAAAAGCTTCAGCTGGTAAAATGTACATGCACATCAGCGTATAAATTATACCTAATATACACAATATAATACAGAAGTGGTATTTTCGTCTGCATGTGTTTTTCGTGTTTGCGCGGGCCAGACGAAGCATCGTTGCATGGTAAATATTCGTCTTCCGTAAGCAAACGTTGCCAGGCAATTGCTTCTCCGCGATAGATATCTAGGCTGATACTTCACAGTTGTAACTGGCACGTAAAAAAACTCAACACAGGACTCTATGCTCGTACATAAATTACGTTTACACTCGGATCACATTTTACCTCCTGCTTTTCTTCGTGCTATATTATATATATATATATATGATATTTCCATATGATATAATGATTATATATAGTAACAATACTACACCAGTTGGCAGTGATCAATAGTGTGGTGATGGCTATAACGGTAGAAACAGCAGCGGTGACCGTTGCTTCTTCTTTGCTCCTGCCTTGTTTATAACTTCTCTTTGTTCCAATTTCTGAGCACTCTTCTATCGTTTACGCACACAAACTCACCACCCCTAAACAAATCTTTGCTCCTAATCCCGTATTTTCCTCATTCTACCCGCTATGATCCTAAATTTGGACCCCAAAAACATTCTTCTTTTCCGTGGTTCCTTGTATGCCCCGACTGGCTGCATGTTCTCCGCGCACCCCGACGCGCATTCGCACGCGATGGCGCTCGACGATGATCTGCCTGGCGCTTGCATCTGCCTGCGGCATACCTGCCTATCTTCCTGGCTGTCTCCTGGCTAATCTCCGACCGACAATGTGTAAATGACCTCTAAACACGAATCGGTCGACCTTACCTGACATATACCTGCTGAATGCGGACACAGCACCTCAACCGACACCTGTGACTACGAACCTCCCTATGGCAATGGTCACCAAGGCAACTGTTTTTGAGCCGGTCTCCTCTGCACCTGCTATACTGGCTGCGGGTCTATCGTCTTCCGAGTCGGTTGAGTCATCCATACCATCAGCTGATTTGACTTCAGGCGCCGATGAGGCGTCAGCGGTTTCATCTTCGGAACAGGTCGCAACGCCCGTTCTAGCCATAGCAGCAAACCTTGCACCTGCCGCTCCACCTGCGCAAGCTGCCGCATCCTCGGCATTACAACCTAACCTAACAGCCTAGAACTAGTACGGACTAGGGAGTTACGTCCCGTTATAGAAAAAGAAGTACACTAAAATGCTGTGAGGGAAGCTGCATGCGTGCCAAGTTCAGCCAAGCCAATCGAACCAATCATGCTTAGGAGAATCCACCTATACCCTCATAGTTGCTCCGTCACACTCATGTACATTCACGCGCGAATACTTCAATCAACAGAATGCTACGACATCATCGTGTTGATCATTGTTATTATTGTTGTTAAAAGTGGTATAATACCGGAAAAGACATCAGCCTCATCAGCAGCAAGCACAGTAGGAAACTATGGCAATGGCTGTAGACCGCGCATAAAAATCAGCCAAGAACAATCTCACCAACAGCAGCAAGCATAAAGAAACCATCAACCGTACAGTTGTGAGTAGGCCTGATCTCGCAGGGACGCCAACACATACTAGTAATATAGGGTAAGGCAAAAATAGGCTTTTAGAAGAGAACTATTTTTATGACCAAGCAGCATCGCAGTTGAAATAGTATCTGAAAAGTTATTTTCGCTTCCGATAGGAGAACTATCTTGTTCATCTCTAGACCCATTCTTAAACCTACTTTTGCCCTGCTCAGTATAACAAATAAAACAGAGAAAGAGAGTGAAAGGGTTTGGGACCATATTTCGAAGAATAATTAACATTAGAAATTAACACGGTATATAAATGGCTGATCGCATCATCATTTCCATTACGCTTCGATAAGCTACGCATTACAGAGCAATCACCAGCACAGCTTTAAATAATGTTTTTTTAGAAGATTCCGTAGATTTCCTAGGAACGTTAAGCTAGCCGGCCGATTTCTCCATACCGATAACCCCAATGTAACTTGCCTAGGGATCCTTAAACTTACATATTGTTGCATTGATTATATTGCATGTCGTCAACATGTTTTGACAGGTACATACTCGAAATTCGTCTGACATATAAATTAGTTCTATACTATTGTATTAGTACTAAATTAATTTACTTCCTTCAATTACTGCAACGGACATTGAAATTCTGTCTTGGATTCTTGGACTAATAAGTGTTTATCTCTATGTGCATATTTCAGTGTGATTGGCTCGAAGTGATTGACCCTGTCCAAGTTTTTGCCATTATTGTATCAGGATAAGACGTTGATTGGGTTTCGTTTTAGTTGCACGAAAATGACCCATTTGTTGAGGCACGTTTCCCGTCAAGTTATTATAGTAATCTATGTTTGTATGACTGGGTGCTTTACAGTATCTTTTATACGTGATGCGCACCTTGTGTATGCCTGACAAAACCAAATAAAACAAGCTGGTCTCGACCAAACCAGCGGCGACGACGGTGGCAGAAAAGCGTTTGAGACCGCCCCTACCTTTCCTGTTATCCTAGCCTAACCCTACAAATCTGTCAACCTACAAACATAATCGAGCAACCATGTTTTTATTTTGTTACCATTGCTGCTGCTATGGGTTTGGCAAAACGGTAAAGTTTGTTCCCGCTCTGAAACGGGAAAGCGTCTGCTATTGTATTTGAACGCTCGTCGTGACCCGCTACCACAGGATGTAAGATATCGAACTGAGATCAATCCATGACAAAGTAAAAGACAGTTTCCTAGCTCGGACGCAGGAAGCTCGCACTTGTTCTTCTTTGTTAAAATTTCGAAATTTGTGTCGTCGACAAATTAGCATCGAGTTATTTATTTATTTTGAAAGTTTTCAGTGTAAAAATGATTTCGTATATAGATTTTGCGTACGGGATTGACTATCAAAGCTTCGGTAGACGCTCGATGCTTCGATGTCGGATGCACTGCCACTGACACACCCATCATTTCTGCAATGGACAGCTCACTGAAGGCCTCATAGCCTTCCCCGTAACGAAGATTAGATGTGAATTACAAGTATCTAAATGCCAATAATTTTGTAAATGGAAAAGCAATTGAAGGTTATAGTTATCACAGCATAGAGTAAAAAGTATAAATATATATATATATATATATATATACAAAAATAGAGAATGCCAGAGAAAAGATACGGATGGCCCTGACAGACCATAGTAGATTGATCCTGTTTGCGAAGGCGACATAAATGCAAATATTCTCTGTAATCATTTCCATACGAGCGGGTAACTCTAGGTATACTTGTTGTGTGCCTTCGCATAGGGTAGTTGCCATAATTATATATATATATTTACTGCTGAATATCATATCAATGTGACAGGAAGCATTACAAAGTACATTCTAGTAAAATGATTCACTTTAATCAAGTGCGATTTAAATTAGCGTCTCGAATCTTCAATGTGAAGCAAAAGAAGCTTCAACGTGCATCGCAGCTTTCTGATGACATAAATTTTCGGACGATTATTCCCATGGACAACATAAATGGGCAAGATTATGTTTCAAAAGTTTAAAATCGATGACATCGAAGGTGACACATGGCACAGCTTTATTGTCATCTCGTGTTGTCTACGTGTTTTTCTTGTGTTTATATATATAGGTATGTATAAATATATATATATATATATAGGTATGTATATATATATATATATATACATTCATGTAAATAACATTGTATATATCAGTAGTAGCACTGCATAAAACTGAAGAGTTTACCGTCGGTGAGAAAAAACGTAACGCTAACGGCTCGTGAAGTCGATTCTCACAGCAGAAACTCCGGGATGTGGAAACGGAACATGACGACACGATCATACGCATGCCTCTGACATTTTCAACGTTAAAACATTAACTATCGTATGTAAGTCTTGCATAAATGCATTTTTGGAGTTAACTGTTAAACAAGTACGGCTAATCGAATCATGCAAGGCTATCATATATATATATATATATATATATATATATGGAGAGAGAGAGAGAGAGAGAGAGAGAGAGAGAGAATGCACCTCGATTTATGGTGATTCTAAAGTAGGTAATAAGGAATATAACTTTTTCTCTGTGAGATAATCAGAAGTCATACTTCATTTTAAAGATGACACAGTAAGTGATTTGGCTTTCAAATCGGACGAACAAAGGACCCTAGAGGAGCATGTAGTTGCATTCATCGACTCATTATTCAACCTTATATTCGCCTCATGATGTAAACGTATCGTATGTTATCAATAAAAAAAAGAATATGTTTTATACCTACACATATAAAATGAGCGGTACCTTTTTTTAGAAACTAACTTTATCAACTAATTCAAGATTTATTGTGCGCTGTTGTATGAACATGTCGAGTTTTAAGTTTGGCATTGACGAGCTATGTCCAGAACCCGAACCTGATTGTCCCTAAGTTCAGTAGGTAAACGCGTTACCATTTCACCGACACTCGCAGTATTTTCCACTCAAGTCTCTACTGCTTCAAGTTCTGTTAAGGGCACGCACTATCTACTAACCTTTGTGAAAAGAAAATGGAACCATTAAAACGTATGGTAAGCCAAAAAGAGGAGTACTAATAACAATAGCAGTGCACTCTTAATAGATTGGCTAAAGGCGTATCATAATCTATTACAAATTTAACAGATTGGAACCTATGCTCATGTCTCGCCATATACGAATTACGAATGAGTTCGAGAGCGACTGTTCCAGCAGAATTTAGCCAATAGAATCATTTTGGCTCAACCCTGTACCATAAAATGCCCATAAAATGACATACGAGGTGCATTATAGATCGATCGGAATTTGCGGAAAAATAAAGTTTACCTCGCCAACAAAAGCTGGCATAAACGGTTTGACGGGAATATTCACACCTAAGTAGCAATGCAGCTCTGAGGGGTGGCCTCCCTTTGTAGGTGAAGCATAGCAACTATGGCCAATGTGGGTTGGCTTCACCTAGGGGATACAGACAAGTGCATCGTATTGGTTACTTGCGCTCGCCTTGGTATTTGGCAGCAGTAGATGATAGATGCTTGTGAAATATAATTAGAGACGTTCGCGATTACAAGCGCACAGGGTCTTCAGAGCTGGACCACACAACACTTATAGAAATTCCATTCCATCACTGGCAGCTAGATTTTTAAATTAACTAGGCTCTATTGTATTTTAAAGATGGCTGTTGAGATACATTTATTTTGGCGATTTTTTTCAAGCTCGAAAAAAAATTTTGGTGTCTACGTAGAAAGCCTAGATACCGTCCAACGGTGTTTCGAGCAAGTAACAGGTAAAGGGACCTAATGTAATTACACAGACAGAATAGATGACCAAATTAATAGCTATTGCTTTACGAGCGGCAAGTCCTGTAGTAACCAGTGTTATAGGTGCCCCGATTGACTGCATTAATTCCTAATAATGGCCTGTGAAGTGAGAAAATGCCATTTAATTTGTTGATATTAACCAATATATAGAAATCTAAACACAACGACGGTCTGATTTGCGCCGTCGGAGGCACGGGTAGACGGTTTCAGCATTGAATCCCCGCCTCATGAAATCCGCGTTGAAAATCCGCGTTCAGTCTTCGTGTTTTCCAACGCTTGAGGTCAATCTAGCACAATCAGACACGTCACGATAACGAAACCATTAAGCATAATTGTGAGTAGGGATGCAGCTTATATTGACTTACATTCTAATAGCCACATCTTACAGTGAATGAAAATTGATTTTATAAATTTTTTCTGTTCTTTCTACCTGTTGCGAAATAGTGTAGCAGAAAAATTATAAGATGGTTGGATTCGTGTTCTGGCTCTAGAACAGAGACTCAGATTGTTTCCGGTTAGCAGGAAAAGCGTTTGCTCGGTGGGTCGCCACCTGGCTTCATTCTGTGGCGTTGAACCCCGCAGTATTCCGAGCCTCTTCATTTTGTCTATTAGCGATATGAAAGTATAGAAAACAGGTGGTGAGTATCTCCCCTGGGTACAAAAAGCGTTTCAAGCCGCAAATCGACGGGGTCCTCGTTTAAGAATTCTATACGTTCATAAAATGTACTCAAAATAATGAAATACAATGAAGTGATTCGCGCCTTAAGGTAACTTCATAAACTTATGAACGGACTTCTCAACACAGCTGCGTTTGGTGTGCTCTCTTTTGCATTCTGGAGCCAGTATATTGGGCAGCTATTCAAACACGCTCTCCGGCTAATCAACTGCATCTTGCGGCCCATCACCAAAAAGTGCTCCATGAACGACTTTCTGTAGTTACAGGTCCCTGTGCGAATTTTATTGCTCAATATATTTACTCAATAAGAAGTTAGCGGCTTCCGAAAATATGGAACGGACTGCTCTGCGTTGTTCGTGCCGAGGGCATCGAACTCATTACGGCAGTACTAGCTGTAGTCACGTTTTGGAAGCAGCCTAACCTAAAGTTTTAAAGAATCTATAAAAGGTCGGAAATGTTCAGTTGGTATGTAGTCATCATAGAAAACAGCTGCTACATAGAACTTGTTAAAGAATGGTTCAGTCATATCAAACTCTTTTTAGATATTGAAATAGATTACAACAAGCCAGCTAACTAGCTGCACGAGAATCTTGTTATCGAACTGAATTCAGTAAGATAGACCGCCCTCGCTAGTGCATTTGGAGGACCATCGTCCTTTGCTCACACGAAGACTTACTAGCACTTAGCTAGATATTATACACAAAGGGACTGCTTATTTCAAAACGTTTTAGAGTAGGTAGGATATCGAAAACTTTGAGTCTACTAGAATTCTCTCCAGGCTAGACGTGTCCATGTCGAACTTAATGCCTACGTGTAACGCTTTGATTGACCCGATATATTTGAGGGATTAGCCAGACATTCTGCTGACTGAACTCATCGACAAATATTCCACCTTTAGCAATGGTAACTCCGAGCCAAAACAGGAGAACGGTTAACCTATAATATATTATAACCTTCGACCCAATAGGACGCATCCTATAGCAGTATGTTGGTATCGGCGCCGCTAAACGATTTCTGTGAATGAGGACAATATACCCAGGCACTCAGGATAAACGTCAGGTCAGGATAGACTTCGAGAAAGCAATTTCTTTTAATAAGTATCCATGTGCACTAAATAAGCATATGGGATGGAGGTGGAATCACCATTGCTGCGATAATAGTGGTCGACAAACCATGGTAATATGGATTAACGAAACAGAATAACAGAACAGATTATGCGATGCACGTATAACTAATCAACAATTCAATACGCAAATTACAAGCTGCAGTGAGAACGAAAAGCGACCTTTGTATGCATAGGGCAATGCCGGACTAAACAACATTGACTAGGTTGTGAAGTACAGTTTCATCTTCAGTCAATCTACCAACCTATTACAGAGGACAAGCAAGTAACTCCCATCGAGGCTGATTTCTAACGCTAGTACATAACCAATCTCAGTACATAATCTTATATAACCAACTCCAGATGGAATCGTATGGATCTGCATCCATCTTCAGCTTAGTCAAAGCAAGCTTTTAGTCAAAGCGTCGTTAAATTTCTGACGGAAACAGCCTAATGACACCGCACCAGACTTGCAAGCGGAATTACGAAAAACTTGTTGGAAGTAGATGTATGTTAGCTAATAAGATATGGTCGAGAGTAATAATGAATCCTATAAGTAAGTTCCAGAAAATTCTATAATGGGTCACATGTTTTTTGGGCGGCATTACTCTTTCGAGCTTGTTGTATGTCTTAATAACATGCTGTTGGGCATTTTCGCTTGGTCGTTCTCGGAGCTATACAAAGAATACAGGACCTGAAAAACTTAATTTTGCCACTAGAGGTTGAATCTAGTTGTAACAGACTTCGAAAATTGACTGAATGTAACTGCGTGGATGTAGCTTTCAGTGGACAACTGTTTTGAGTGTAAAATAAAGGAAGCCACTAAGCACATCTTTACTTAGTGTCAATAGGTAGTTAAGAGATTTTTTTTTGCACGTTTTTTAATTTTGTGCCATGACCGAATGAAACTCGTCAGACATGGCTGCACAATTTAGTAATAATCGTGATATAGAATATTCGTATACTAAGTTATTTTTCACATCATACAGAAGTTGCGGGTGTAAAAAACACGTATTTCTATTAATGCTTTTGTGTTCAATAGATATATAGTAGCATCCATGACCCTTTTGCTTCGGGTGTGCCTCTCCCTTTGGGTTACAATATCCAGGTATAAATAAATAAATTGATCAATAGATGTCACAGGTTAATGATAATAAGTCAATATTTATATGAATAATTCTGGAAAAAATATTGTTTTTTTGTATATTTAAACCAGTCAAACTTATGCTATTAGGTATAGTATCTAGGGGAGACTTTAAAGCAAATATGAACCATAGAACGCATAATTTGGTTGAAAAGCTGCAGGTATTTCATTTATTTTCATGCTCCATTTGTTTTGTGAACTACGATTTGATACCCTTTTTAAGCGGACATTATATAAATTATAGACTGATTTGACGAGGCATCTAAACAAGTCTATATCTGAGCCCGCTTAAAACTTCCGCCACGTGACTCTGACGAATTCCATAAACAAATATAGATATACACGCAGAACAAATCCGCCGTTACATTAACAGTAAATTGTGCGTTTTCGCTTGTTATAATTAATTCCATGGAAGCTTTTTGAAACGCCTTGAATAAGAATCAACGGGTAATTGCGCGGACGACGTTCCGAACATAAGTTACCAGCCAGTGAGGCCCTATTGACACAAAAACCCATTCGCATTGAAATTATAGATAACTATACTTTCCTACATACCTAAACTAGCATTTGTATCACAGTCTGACCATTTACAAGTCCAACTCTTTCAATACAATTGAAAAAAGTGACGTTCAAGATTTTTCCTTAATAGATCCGCTCAAAGTCAGCATAATATGACGCCGATGCTAATTGACGCTCTTGTTATACACGGGCATTTCAAACGAATCACGAATCCAAGTTACCTTAGCCCTCAAAATTGAAGTTTCGAATTTTGCTTGCAGCAATGCAGATTGAACATTGAACAGATTATCAATACTAGTGTCTATTTATTATTTTTGTTAAATCAATTGAAGTTAGCAGTAAAACCAAGCTAAAGTCTAAATGAAGATAATTTATCACAGCGAAATGTTTAACTGCTATGTGTATCACCTAGTTAGTTGATCGACATAAATAGTCTAGCTACGATTAGAAGAAGCCATCATTGTAGTACATTAATAACGTAACGTAGACATTTATTATTTGTTATATATTGTATGTACAGCTTGGCCGCCAGTCGTCCACGGATGGTAAGCGGCACCATATATGAGTTGTTCTTGTTTGTTGTCTTTGTACGGCATCGATTTGCTCTTAGGTATATGGGATATATATATATATGTATATATATATATATATATATAATGGTGCGTCTAACAACACTGAGGAGGCGCTGGTGGGCACAACAAGTGCCCAACAGCTCAGACAATTACGTTTGTCTGCATACACAGACCGGCAAAACGCATACAGCACGATAAGATAACAGGCTCGGCGAATATAGCATTGGACCGACCACACACTACATTACATGCATACACACAGGCACGCGATAATTCACATACAATTCGGATGATGATTACTTTATATTAGACATCAAAGGTTTGAGGTGATCTTTGATTGGCCATGGCCTTTCAATCAAATCGCTCAATAAGAGCGTTGCTTTGTATGTGCTTGAGAACGCGTAACCCAGTTGAGTTTCTGCCGGATGCGTCATGACAGCGAATTCTTTCCCGCAGTTCCATTGGGCACTGGTGTGACATAGCCATTTAAGTTTTACTTGCTTTTTGTGCTTATAAACACTTAAATAACAGACACATTTTTTAACGAGGTTAAACTCGAGACGAATATTTATCAAGTCAATTAAAGTCATAGCAACATTGGCACCAGTTGAAAAATTTAGCGCATATGAAACGTCAGGACGTCACGGCCCAGGTATGTGGCACATGCGCAAAAATATACCAGGAACATGTATGGTATCGATTGGATCTGGGTCTACTTGAAGGTTCAGTTCAATCGAGATGCAGTGCGCAGGTCGCATTCTCAGTTCTCATGGTTCCTACTATTACAATTATTGTTATCGCAAAAGAGCTACGAAATGCTGACTTGTATGATTTCCTATTGATTATAACGTCAAATGTTAGCATCGGAAGTGACCGGACCATGTAAATAAAAAAAATTAAATGTCAGCGCACTAATAGATATCCGAAATTCGTAAAGTATATACATTTGGCTTTCTCTTTCCCTCTCTTCCTCCGTCTCTCTCTAAGTATATATAGATATTACTTGACTATATCCCGCAAAACCGACATTTCTGCGGTAGACCTATCTAGATCCTTTCCAGAAGGACCCTCGCCTTTTCGATCGCCGAATACAAATTAGTATTGAAAAAACTTTTGGAACACATCACGGTCCCTCCTTAGCAGATGCTAACAACGTCGACGGAAACGCTCAACGCGGAAATCCCTTGTTGATGTACGTATATGACACATCATATAGAAATTGCTGCATCTACCTGAAGAAACCATACTCCGTCCGAAATGTGTAATCTTTGCTAGCCGAACTTATTTGTAGGGTTTAACCCCTCAGTTACTTTGACTCCGATCCCATATCTATAAGGTATATCTATAAGAAGAATTTCCAGTTACTTTAGCAAACGTGTTACCACCTCTACGTCAGCTTCTGCCAACACAATCATTATCGATTTCATCACCTCGTCACCAAGTTCATCACTCCGCCGCCTGATCACTATCAGTCGATCATCATCTTTTTTTACCCTGTCTACCATCCGTGAAGTCCGTGGGCTCGGGGAAGAGCGACGTTGACGCGGGGCAAAAGCTCGTGGATGGGCGGCAAAGCAACGTGACGGAGCAGCGGACCCACGTTAACAACGGGAGAAGGCAGGCTAGCCCAGCCAAACTCATTGTACCCATGTCCGTGACCGTGTCCGATACCGTGACTTGGTTTGCCATGGTGGCCATGACCGTAACTTCTGCCGCCTTCTCCATGGCCATGACTCTCCCATCCGTGTTCGCCATGTTGTTCGTGGTGACCATGCTGAGGTGGAGCCCACAGACCGGCGGCTACAACCGCAGGAGCGATCTGCGAGAGAGCCCCGGCTCCTATAGCTGCAATGGCGGCTCCGGCCCTTACGGCCGACTTCGTGCCGAGACCATTAACCGAGAGGACAGCGCAAGCCGCGAAAGCTATGGTCAGTGTGGTCTGAAATGGGATAAATAAAAAGGTACAAAAAAAAGAGACAGAGGAAGACAGAAAAAGGAACGAAAGGAGAGAGCTAGTTTAGCTGGTAGCAAAACGACGGCGATAGAGGTATCATTGCAGTATATGAAGCGTAAATACTAAAAAATTATTGTGGATATGAGTAGCTATACAATTATTAATTGATTTAAAATTCAGATCTATTCCTTATCAAAGGCAGTGGTTCAAACGAGAGTGGAGCAAAGGCGAGCAGAACCGAGCTAGAGAAGCAGTCCATAGAATTTTTACACGTAGTACAGTTCTCTAAGTTACTCCTATTAATAGTTATCAACTTCGATCTGCCGTAGGAAATTGCATGAGCTGGCATTGAGTTAGACTCATTGTTAGTTCAATGGTACGAAGAGGGTACATCGGGAGATCAATGCTTCTGCACAAAAGAAACATTTTTCACATTCAGCAAACACCATTTTGTACGGCAGTTTTTTTTCCATTGGGAACACTGAGATTCACTATTGTTCCGGTTTGAGGCTTCTGTCTATTACTTGGAAGGGCAGGTACAGCAGAAGGACAGGCCAATTGTGTTTCATTATAACGATAGTAAACATTATTGGGCGGTCAGTTGCTCGGCAGCTAATAATTACGTTGATGGCTGGGTCGAGGTTCGACCAACGGACACAAACGCAGCTCAGTGCGGAGTATTTGTCAAAAAAAATACTGTTTGTCTATTAAATAAGCTTCCCTGTTTCGGTCTTGTCAGACAAAGAGCCAGGCTAGTTTTAAGTGAAGTGAATAAAAGTAAATTTCCGCCTAAAAATCCACTACGGCGCTTATGGCATTATGTTGATAAGTAATCTGCCTGCCAATGTAACCTCACTTATGATTTAGCGGCTATAAAGTCCTGTTGTTTTGTACATACAAGATAATTCTAATAATTCATCGTACTGTAGTTGTCTGCGGTAATATCTGCTTGTCTTTACTCCATTGCTAACTAGCCATCGAAAACATTGAATAGACAAGGTTCAAATATACAATACATATTAGCTGCGTTGTTTTTTGTTCGCTTTTTGAATAACTAAATCAATTGATAATGTGTGACAAATCCGATGCACTGATCTTCGCTTTCGTATCCATGGAACAACACAACACAATCGGGCTCTGGGAACGACCCATCCCATAGTGGATGAAACCTTGCATAAAGGATCACCCGCTAGGTATTAGCTTCACGCAACTGCTAACATCAACACGGCACTGCCCAACGCTTTACAACAAAGTACTACACTTAGCAATCGCGTTCGATATTCTTCACTTTTGTTCTTCGACTTCACGCAGTCCCGCACTATCCAAAAATAAACCAAAGCTAATATGTCTAACAATTTCAATCGATGTAACTTTCAGTGAACACCTCTAATCTCAATTGACACACCTTCATAACATGCATTTTCCTTTGCACACGTGCTCCGCCGGTTAAGAGTACTTTCTAAATCAGCAGATGTTAAACTGGTGCCTGTAGTATCGCCACTACGATGAGGCGTCTTCTGGCCGTCACCAACGTGAAGCTGGCTTTTAAACAATAACCGCGGCATGTTCCTGACGCTGGGTCCGCTACCCAACGTCCATTCAGTGTTGTTGGCCCAGTGGCCCTTGCCTTCGTCGCGTACCACAAGCGTCACAGCCGTTTTTGGGGTAGGGGGTGTGGAAGCCAGAGGGGGCGGTTTGGATGCCGGTCGGGCGCAGCGTTCGAAACTTACTATAACATATTGCAGCGGCAACAGGAGCAGCAGCGTTGTGATTCGGGGCATTTTAGAACGTTAACTGCGTGCGCTAACGGCGTTGTCGGCATTTTGCTGCTGCTGCTGCTGTTGCGACGTTTCACTGTGTCGTTCAACCACCTGGCACAGGCGGATAGCCACGGGGATACTATCCCGCGGCTATGAATAGACTTTGGCTTAAGCGTGATACTACGGGTGTTAGGTAGCCGAAGTCCACCCTAACTTGTATCTGCGACCATCATTGGCAAACGAAAGTCCGTCAAAGTCAATGCGGCGACCAGAGATGTGGATTAGTTAAATGGTAAGCGAAAACGTGCAATACGGCGGCGCGTTGCCAAAGTGACGCCATGCCAGCCTATCTGCTACTATTGCAATATTGGTCGTGGACGTGTCAAGTCAATTTTATGCACCGCCGTTAATGATCCAATAATGTTAATGATAGCGTTAACAGACTTGCCCGCCATCCGGTGGGCAAGTCTGGTTTGCTGCTAGAGCAGCAGCTGTGGCCGTCGTCGTAAACATTTGAAAAACTGTCCGGATGCCCTGTACGCAGAGACGCGCATTGCACGTTACTTCTGCTGCTGTTGCTATCGTCAGGAGGCAGGGGTTTTTATTAGACTGACCTTGGGAAACGTTATCAAACGAACACAATGATCGCATCACGGAGCTGCTAATCAAGACCTCATCATCACAACAAGACAACAATAATAACAACAACAATGACAAAGACGATAACAGCAAGACAAAACGGCCATACGGCAAAGTAGTTAGCCATGAACCACGATCACAAACGGTGGTAGATACGGGTGGATAACTTCTACCACTACTGATACACAGATATGCGGTAGTCAATCGTTTGAGCCCTCCATAGCATAATGGTAATTACTCCCGTGATGGATCTAGCAGCGAAATGGTCCGGTCGGCAATCTGTCTTAACGGGCGTTACCGTCGAGTAATAACCACTCTTCATGAGACAAACGACCGCAACTACAGATCAATGGGAGCTTTTGTTAACACAAACTGTGCTGAAGACAATGGCAGTCTAGCGATGACCGCAAACAAGAACCCGGTAGTGCCTACGACAAACGATCGTGGCTGATCCAGTCGGATGACGTTATCATCTATTGATCTGCCACTTTTGAGCGCCGCGAACGTCGCTCAGAGCCATACCGAGTTACTGAAGATAGGATAGGAGTTACTGCAGCGAACCAGAGCAGATCCTCCGTATGATGTGCTGGCGGTAGGTACAGTGATAAACGCTGCTATCGTGACTACCTCACGGCTATTCGAGTGTACAAATTGTACTAGCGATCGACGTCGAATAGTTTTTTGGCCAGAGTGACGGTATAGATACCCACCCCGAGGTGGCACACGACGGCGGAATCGGCAATCGATGAATTTATCTATCAGATATTTTCGATATAGCGGCATTTTGAACGTTGGATAGTGTTAAAACAAGACCGCTATGAACATCGGCGGCTGTTTTGGCGGGCTAGACAAGTGCGTAATGACACTAGATGCAGAACGAGCTCGCAAAACAGCTGCTACGAACACCAGTATCGATTTTGATGATAGCGGTTATATCACAGCTGTTATTATTACTATTATAAATAATGTATAGGTTGCACAACAATAATCAGCTATAGGAAAACGCACATGTTAAATGCATATGGAGACTATGCAATTATCTTCAACAGCCATTTCCTCACTGGCCATTACGTAGCAGTTATTGTTCCTCAGCTACAAACCAATGCGCATCTATTGACAACCCTACTCATGCTGTGACTTTACGACACGCTTTACTGATCGACGCCTGCATATGCTCTTCGTGTCATTTCTAACACTGGCACAGGTTAGAAAATACGCACTTGCACCATAGTGCACTTGCACCTTGGTGCCATTGTGTATGGAGCCATGGCTTATTAATGCAACTGAGATTTTCTCAGGATATCTAGCAATAGCAACTGTTTCATTTGCTATAGGTGTGGGTTAACCTAAAAACGCATCCGTTTCAAATCTATGAGCGATACTGTCGAGTATCATAACGCATATGAAAGAGAGAACCCTTTTTGGACCTATATATTTAGACACCATTTTATACTTGCTCGTAGGCTTAAACCGAATAAGAGACATTCGTTGTGCGCGCGTCGACGTTGGCGTTGCTTAAAATTGTGTCGCGTAAAAAGAGGAAAAGGCGGCACTCCGATAACTTATTCTCGTGTTTTCGCTAAATGTTGCGCATGTTTTGCTGAACTTCGAAGTTCAGAAGTTTGAGGCTTACTCAGAACGCAGGTCCAATCTGATTCGGCATAACGTTACATGCCACTGTTGCATGTAATTAACAGAAAGATTATCGTTGGCCTTTATTTAATAAAACACAAAACAATTCTTTGCCACTGACTTTATTACGCTGTTTCGAAAGAAACCTCGTGCTGTCCATTGGCATTTCGGTAGATTAGTACATTCTACAGAATAGAAGAACTGAAAGAAATAGGGTTTCTAGTTACATAAGGATTGTATAAAAACCTATTTCGACATGAACGCCTTAGAATCATTGCAACGGCAATTTGCCTTCAGCTTATCGGATTACGCATATATGTAATAATTGCAGTACCTTTGTTGAAAATGTATTATATTCTATACTACATAATCCAGAGAACATTACGTCGTTCTTGTTTTTTGCTGTCCAACGTAATCAATTTAATGGAAGCAAACGTCTGACACCATCCGGTGTATCATTTATCAATTGATTTGTATATTAGTTGACATCTTAGACTATTTTTATCATTTACGCCGTACCACGGCAACCATTGCGCGATACGCTGAAGATAGAGTTGTTGCAATCCAGCCTTTCCGATTAGTCACCAGTATTTGGCATGGTCATTTATTTCAGAGATTACAATCGACGTGATAAAACCAAAGGCGACAAGGAACAACTGGGACCGATCGGCTTTTCGGGTTATGCGACACGGGTGATACTACAATAGGCAAAAGTGGACCAACCATTTTTCCTTCGATATAGTTCTGTACTGTTATCAGTTGTTGGTACGTGGCTTAATAACTGCAAGAAAGTCGTTACTCTTAAGGGTGATCAATTTTTGTGTTAAACAAAACAGATCGGCCTTTATCGGAAAATTTAACAAAGCAGAATAGTGCGGCCGTTCGTAATTGCCAGTAGTAGTATTATGTGCATGGTGACTCGGTGATCCAGTGTATTGTAATAAGATGTAGTTTTGACGGTTCTGTGACGTTGTGTAATGCCTACCAATGCAGGACCAACGTATCTAAATTGGGTCAATCACACATTACGTAGACAACGACAATTTCGCTGCTATCGTACGATTTCGCATACTTGTCCTAATCTGCAATGAAATCCTCTACGTTCTTCGAAAAGCAGTTGTTATTTACAGCGCTGTCGACTTTCACTTGAGGAATTAACAGAGACTAGAAATCGGTTTATTTCTCACGTAGGAGAGTAAACTTGGTTTTGTTAATAACAATGCTAGAGATTGTATTTCATAGGCACCTATACATACGGGCAAACATTCGTGATGGGCAACCTGTGGCTGAGTCGCTAAAGTAACTTGCTCAAATAGAGATTAGAACTATTTGTAGAAGTTTACTAAAAATCAAAGAAACTATAGGTAAAATTTCAGGGGCAGAACTTCTATAAAATATACAGCACAGGGACGACCGGACTAGTTCGAAAGCGATTCTAGTTATGTTTTTGAAAAAAGTCATGTCGCTAAGGCAGACACTCACAGCCCACACCCGTTTATATCATTCCAATCTATCCTGCTAACGGAGCAACATTCTGAGTAAAAAAAACAATTCCAAAGCTGCTCTACGTGTTTGAATTGCTATGATTTCTGCAGATAAGTAAAGTAAGTTCCGAGTTTTACGTTTGGTACTGCTTCCAGGTACTTATTTTAGAAGGTCTACTTCAAATAAATTTCAGGTATAAACCTATCCTAAGTAAGTTAAGTTATGTTAGCCGGCGTAAGCGGTGGCGGATAGCTGTGATGATTGACGCTGAAACGTCGCCCTGTCGCCTTTTTGCTAGCTTTCCATAACTATTTTCATGCACGCAGTGTAATCACCTTCTCCCATACTTCATTTGGAATTCCAATACTAGAGGTACAGTAAAGATCAGGTTTGTCTAACAAGCAATACGCTATTCTGTATTCCGTACATATAATCTGACTGTTTGCCTGATCCACCATTTTCCTGCGCCGACCCGGTCTGGCCGTCAGTCGTTACATGGATTATGCGTTACTACCACTCCATACGCCATAACAACTCTAACGAAACCCGAATTTCGATTTTTTGTTAATAAAATAATCGTGTTTCATTGCAGAAGATTAGATGTCTTAGTTAAACGATTTTCGCTCGAGATCGATAACACAAAGAGGAAAACTAATTATGGAAGTAACGAGTGGTTCAATAAAGCTCAGATGGACTGAGATTAGGACTAGAAGTTAAATTAGCTTCAGGATTCTATAACGACAGGAGACAGCATGCGAGTGTAGTATAACCGTATTTGATGTGATGCTATTTTGAACAAGCAGCATTTTTCACCGGGTCTTTCCACGCCTAGATGTTTTGCCGATTTTCCATAGAGTAGATCAGGTTAATAATACCATTGTCCCCGTGACCGTTTAGTGGGTAACGTGTTTGCATGGTAATCTTAAAAACACGTCTTGGCCTAGGCCTAAATTTGAGTACGGACATGCTTCGTTTCGTGCTGGCAGCCAGCCATTTAGTAGGTGCCTAACAGCGACACCGGATGTAAAACTCGAAAAATTAAACAGGCCATAGGGTTTTATGTGGTTCAACGAGACAAAAATATTGGCCTTGCCTTAGAAATGCTTAAACGCATGTGCAGCTTAGACTTCCATAAGTTCAGTTAAAATTACTCAGAAGTTTTATCTCTGTTTAAAATGTGATGTGACACCCGGCCATTGCTACGACTCTATTACAAGCTAGTACGGACGCAAATTCTTAAGTCAACAGTGTCGAAGATACTGATTTCGGTAAATGAAATAGTAAACATTAACAGATAGAAATTACTTTTGTATTTCTATTTTTAATTTTTCTCAGATAAACGCGATGTTTTGGATGACAACTAATGGGAAAAGGCGCGCTGTTCATATGGAGCAGACTCAGGTTCAAAGAACGGTCATTAACCGTCAGAAAGTTACTTTTCAACAGTTTGACACTCGTCAAACGTCCTAGGTTGAAGTTCATGTGACGGATACTCTTTGACTGTGTGCCTGTGTTAGTGGACAGATGTTGAAGCGGTAAGCAAGATTTCAGAGCTGACTTCAATGGCCAAACGATAGGTGGCAACACTTTTGTCGGGCAGGTTTACGATATATTGTTAATCCAATTTGAAAAATTTTGTGCGGTTTTTATAAGTTGTGCATGGGAAGTATAAAACACTAATTTCTCCTTAACACCCCATATATTTTGTTGGTGTCTCCGTTCATATGTAATCAGCCTGAATTTGTTAAAACGTGTAGGTAATTAACTGATTATGAGAAAGATAATTGTAAGTCAAAGTCAAGTCGAATACGGTTTTGCTAAACCTAAGGCCTATAATTGTCTAGTTATTATACTGATGACCTATCACAGAATCAGATAGTATGATAAGCTTCTATGAGTTACCGTAATTGGAATTTTTTTTCATTGCAGTCATTTTAACGGAGCAGTGCAAAGTAATCAAACCCAAGTTGCAGATCTTTAAGCTCGTAGTATGAACAGTGCTACAAGATGGGTTAAGGAACGACTCCATGTACAATGCCCATTTACGAAAAAATTAATGGTGAATAGACTCGATTGAGGTAGTTGTCGTATGCGAAAAAACAGCTTGAATTCATTTGTATTTCAATGGGGGAATACATGAAGACGCAAAAATAAGTAGAGAAACTGAAGCCTGCTCCCAGGTACATCCCAATGTTCATACTTCACTCTGCTGTTGGAAAAAGTGTAAGTGTTATTTACGGGGCTTTATCGAACCATACTGATTTATCTGTATCTAGAATTTTAGTTGATTAATAAATCTATTTCACGTGCTTATTCTGCTTGCCTATTTGTTGCGTTTTTCCCCATGTAAAAGAGGTAAATTGTTCGTTCTGACAAAAAGATAGTCACATTTTTTCAAAAAACCTAAAAGTTTCTTAAGCCATCTTGATGACTACGGGAAACTCAGCTGACTCCTATTACACGTTGTATTTATAGAATATTCAAAATCAGTTCTTATACTGTGACAAACGGAATTGCATAAGGCAAAATAAAAATAAGAAAAAAAAACAAAAAATAGCTACGATTATTGGCACACGAGTATTTTGATATGTAACAGATTTTTCTAACTTTTCTAAAAAATGAATGGAATTTTCGAAAGTGCCGACTCTAGCTATAGTGAGAATACACTAAACACGCGTAGCACTTCCTATAGCTGAACCCCGGATGAACGTGTTTATCTATATATCCTAGCTAAGCGTTTAGTGGGAGTAACTATTTTTGAGTGAACCAGTGAGGGCCATAATTTTTTGCAGGTTTTCTTTTGCACTTGTTGGATGTAAATTTGTTTGAAGTCTTGAACCTTTTTCGCCCTTCTCTTGCCACAGACCAGGCTAAGCTAGAGGCTCTTAGTAAAACCCGACAAATACATATTAAATTTTCCGATAATAGCTATAACAATAATAGCAAGCGACAAAATTCTACTTCGAGCAGAACGCTAGACAGCATATAAGCAACACCTCTGTCGCTTCTTGCGCGGCCGAGGACATCGAAGATAACTGTAGTTCTCTTTTTTGTCAGCGTACATTTTGAAACTACCGCAATTGGATTGACATCCTGCACTCGGCACTGGTGCTGAACCTATATTCCCTGCCCCTCTTTACTGCGTGGCAACGAAGTTGTTTCACACCATTTTCCATACGTAACCGTTGCTTCGTGCCAAACGTGACTGTTCTCCGTGTAGAGCAGACGTAATCCTCCCATTGCGGATATGGCTGCCCCTAATTCTTTTTTCTATCCTACCTTTGTCAAAGACTGCTAAGCTTCGGAATGGTTTAATTGAAGCTTCAGCCCCATCATTCCATGTCGCACCACTATTTGAACCCCTTCAGCTTCATAATAATAGTAGTTATAATTAATAATAATATATAAGTAACACAAATGGAAGCGCAGGTCACATATAGCAAGCTAGACCGATCTTCAGGGATTGTGTCAGTCAGCTTATCGTAGTGTCCACTACTGCTAGGACAATGCGTCTACTTTTTTTTTTTGAAAATTCGGCCTGTATACGCGTCAGGCAGGTGGCAAGGGGCAACCGAGCAGAGTATGCAGCTATTATAGTTCCAAGGGTTTCTTATCTCCATATGATGTCAGGTGTTTTCCCCAGCGACGACGGTGGTCACTGTATATGGCCACGAACATGGTGACACGGCGATTAGTGTCGTAACGTGTCCAATGTAATAGACTGGAGAGGCACGGACCTAGGTACAGACCATATTTTTAAGCGACCTTTTGAAGCGACGGCTCATACAGAAAACACGAGGCACTCTTGACGTCGGCGCATGCTGACCACACCGGTACTGCAAGGCTCTTAGACAAAACATAATGAACAGATATATAAACTGGTTGTGGAGAATACGTATCTAATGAAAGTACGGAGCTGGATCGGACATTGCTGACTTGGATAGGCCGCTTATTTATACATTTAGAGATTTATAAATGATGATAATAATTTTCCGAAATCCTAAACACCAACATATCTCTAATCATCAAGCTCTCTGTGATATTCGTTTTAAACATACCGTATACACGAGTTACACGTATTCACGAAACGCCTGCGTCCCTACTGTGACGATAATAGCTACTTGCGTCATAGCAACGGTTAGCCTATTACGCGAAATACTGAACAAACACTATATATACGTATATAGATCTTAACTTATTAACACCGATTTGCGGCTCGATTCAACTTCAATGGCTGTACCAGTAATTGCTCTGGAGATACGACATCTACTGAATTGTTTTCAATTATTATTACTACTAAAATACGATCTGTGTGTGGGGCGAGCCCCGGGGCACTAGATTGGCATAAACAGACTTTTCTTTCCTCATATTTTTCTATCGAACCTAGGGCACACTGCACTCGGTCGATGTCAACAAATGATTGCTGGTTTTTTTTTGTAGCTAGGTCAAGATGATGGAATGAGGATATATGGATTGTAAGATATAAATACATTATCAGAAGCACTTAACGATCAGCGAGACTATTGCGAGGAATTGTTTCGACCGCCGTGACGCAAAATGATCCTCGAGTGGGCGTAGGGCTCCCCAAAAAGAGATCTGCATAACTAAATATAGCGTCACTCAGAGATTATTATTGTGTCTGGGACCGACAAAAATAAGATATTTCATTAATTAGAATAGTATAATTATTAAAGGAGGAAGACTCATGCTGCTACTAGTCAATATCAAGTTGGCACTTTTATACACAGTATGTAAGGTTATCAGTGGGAGGCAGGGGCCTAAACGAATCTTTTTTTGTTGAATCGTTAATAGAGGGTTGCGATAACTCTCAGGTTGCTGTTCATTTTCTGGATCGCGCTCCTATATCGCGGGTGGAAGATCTTCGTATGAGAAGTCTCACATAAATGTAGTCCAACAATTGTAAAAGTCCAGTATCGTACAATAGTATATCATGTCCGTTTGGATGGGTCTGCCACCAATCAATAGGAGGTCGAACTCACAGCTGGTGTAAAAGCTCGAGGTTAACAACTAGAATCGGCTTCTTTCTTCTTACATGAGATGAGGGTAAAACGTCCAACATGCGGCTCTAATAAACATGTTTTATATTATATGGAAGAAAAAAACTAACTAAAAAGCTAGCCCGTTCTCTAGAAACTTTGTTGGCTAGCATTCGGACGCCATCCCTATATTTACCTCGAAGATTTCAAACGAAATTTCTCGGCTCTCCTTCCAGATCCATATCATCCATATCAATAACAGATTGACAAGGATATATTTTTCCAAATATTGGGCAGCTAGTAAAAGCGATTACTGTAATAATAACTAGGAATATTATATGTTTGCCAAAATTACTCTTGTTAAGAATCGGATCATGTCAAAGCTGGCTTAGCATGGAAACGATAGTCACCGTGATCAATAACAGCAAAAATAACACTTATTTACAATATTTTACTAAAATTGCGATAATTTCTATTATTTTTTTTCAACTGGAGCCGAATACAAAAACGAATGGCACACTGTGACAACAAAAATTGCCTGGAGCTATAGCACGACCAAGTTCAACACTCGCTAATATCGCCGAAGTACTAAACTAAAGCCGTCATTGAATACAAGAATAGACATGCAAAAAAACATAGAATTAAGATAAATAAGAGTAGCTATAAAAGCTCCAACGAAAAACAACAGAGTCCTGTCTGTCTATCTGTCAGCTACTGAGGATCTTGTTATCGTTGGTATTTACTTCTACACCAACCTAGCTAATACTGCCAGGGTTAGATCACAGGCGAGTATAACAGCTGAGATGTCTGCTAACAAAAAAGTCGGAACTGGGTTGATGTGCAAACGCTATTCGATCAGTGTGTAATATCAGATTATCTACGTTTAAGGTTGAATAAGGCTTTCAAGTATATATTGTCGCATCGTAACTGACATCAACATTTGATGGAAAAACAGAGGGACCGTCAAACGTAAGAATGCCGGGCAGTGACAGTAGCATCAGGTTGATGGTCAATGGGAGGAACGCCGACAAGCAAATTTACTGATGCCGAATGCCAAACGACACCTGCAGAACGAGTGAATTTCTAGGTGATTCTCTATTTATATTTATGGCCCTCCGTAGCATGCCAGAGGCAAATGCTTTGGTGACCGCCATTGTGGTGTTGGCTACTGCTGCGGCAACGAATTTTCGAAAAAATTGGAACTATAAACTAGTCAAATGATTTGAGAAGGAGTGAGATGTCGAAACGTGCTAGGCAGCACCACTTCGGTAGACGATTGCATGCTGAGGTGGGCATCAACAACAACGGTGAGAATAAAATGGGTGGCCGTCGCAAAAGTCAAGTTCAGCCCAAGACAGGCGACTTCAGGCCGATTAAACAATAGAAGCAAACATTTTGCTGTTTCGTTTGTTTACGGTTGCATTATGATGTCAGGCCTACTTCGTTATATATATCACAAGTTGACGCATGCCCTACATATATATATATATACGCGATGCTGATTAGTGACCGTAATCTGGGTCCGGTTTTGAGGGTTTGTTTTCGTATAAGTGGTTTTTGTACGTATCAAACAAAGTACGACAAGCAGACAGAGATTCGTCATTTAAAATGCATAAGTAGTTAGCAAGGGCTCGTATCACGTGTTCATCGAAAACTGTATAATGAAAAGTTCAGATTCTTGAAACAATGGCGGCTTTTAACCCCGGTCGAAAATCTTCGCAGACTTTGTTTGGCCGGGACCGATAAATGGTAGCTCATTCAGTACATATATATACACATTATGTAAAATTTTGCTCGTTTGATGGCTTTTTGATGTGCGCGAAGCGTGTCGATTTTGCGATTATAAACGGACGTAGTGGCTATAAATTATAGAAAAATAGTTCGATAAGATGCTGACTTTCAGTGCCAATGTCATGGCGTAACAAAAATGCCTGATCCTTTCAGCCATGACACCTATGCTTAAATAGCATATCTACGTACAGCGGCTGAATATCTGTCAGGCCACATAATATAAAAGCAGCTGCCCGCTACTGAAACCTGCAGACTGTCGGCAAGCTCCAATGTTTATATTTACAACGAGATACGTCTATTTATTTGAGCGACAAACTCAAAAACAATCTCATATCTGCTAGAGAGGTACATTGCAAAAATAAATGATATGCCTATTCGTGAGCATGAACAGTTGTAAGAGTTCGATCTTTAAACAAGTACCCAT